CACCATCTATGAAAAAACTTCTGCCAAACGAAATTATTTACAACTCATACAAACAGTTTTATCCATATAAATTAGTTTAATGGAAAACCTATCAAACGACCCCTTAATCATAATAACTTGGTGTAACATCTTTGTATAAAATGTTCAATTATTGATCATATAAATTTAAGTTTCATTAAGCATCATATATCGAAAGAGTGGTATGCATTATAACATGCTTGTATTTTTTTACGATGTCAAATGCTCAATGATAATTATACATGTTTAAGGTACACAGTAGATACGACGCATGCATCATATATGACAATTATTGTACAAACATCAAGTATGTACCCACTTAATATATATACTGAAAGTATATACGTTATAAACGTAGATCATATCGTTTGTAGTTGTGTGTACGTGAGTGATAATACAATGTGTTTTCTAGAACTTTCTTGTATTGTGTGTATGAGTGCATTTCCCTTTTGCTACGTAAGACGTGTTTTCACCGTTACAATAAGGCTCATAACGTTTGTATAAGACGTGGCTCACGTCATGATGCGTTGAGGCGTGTCGTGGTGCAAGTCTTTTACAAGGAGTCATTTTTTCAAATTTTTTTAATTTCTTTTTATTTTTGTGTTTTTACATTTTTAACTTTAAATTTTATATTTTTACAAACTTAGCTAATTACATCAGTCACAGTTTCTTGTATTCACATATATCACCGACTCGTGATTAAAACAAAGTTGTAAAACTTTTCAAAGTTCTATTTTGAATATCTGATTACAAACTTTTTATATAATATTAATTAATATATGAACGCAAAAAATTTAATATCGTTAATTATTGAATAATAAATAGAAGACATATATATATATATATATATGTCGTACAAATTTTCCGTTTTATATCACGTATTAAAAAACGTCGCATGTTTGCCGTGACGTGTAAGAATTAAGGCTTAAGGTCGCCCCCAAACTTTCGTATATACATAAAATTAGAAATTAATTGTATTAAGATAAATATATTATTTATGCATTTAATTCAATTAACAAAATGTACTATGTTTTTCGATATAATTAAGATAAGTACAAGACTGAACAAGTGAGACATAACTGAACAGACTAGAGTGAGATAGACGGATGGAAAAATTCTGAAATGTTTTAACGTTTTAATTTGATATGAATACTTTAATAATTATCAATATTGTCTCACTGATTTTTGTTGCACGTATTTTTTTGGGACAAAAAATAACCTTGCCATGTTCTACTCTAACGTTAAACGTAGACAACAACTTTTGTTCTATTATATCTCATCATGCCCTACTTATCAAACGTACATCTAATTTAAAAGAACATATGACAACTTTGTAACACAAGTGAATGAATTATAATGTTGTAAAAAATATTTTTATAAGTTTGTTATTAAAGGAAATGTTCTCTAAGATATGTTAGTGAAGATACAATAAAATGTCTTTAAAAAAAATTTGGGTGTTCATGGACTGATTTGCACGGTTTAACCCTCGAAACACAAACGAAACCTCAATGACAAATTAGAAATTTACTAAACCGAACTGTTTGGCAGCAAGTGAGCAAACTGGACCATAAAAGACGGTTCGGACTAGCCGACTAAGGTGGTTTGGACCTATTATTGGTTTTAAACTGAAGTAAATATAAAATCTATCTTCAAAATGAAATTTATATCAATATAACATCCACAAAAAATAGTTGGAACTTTTTGACAAACATTGAGGAAGTATAAAGACGGTTTTTTTTTTAAACAAAATTTACATTTTTGCCGATTTAGGAAATGCAGATAAGTTAAAAGTGCAAACTATAACTTAATGTCTCTAACGAATTTTTTTAATTGGAAGCTTAAAACATAAAAACTAAATATAATTAATATTAGAGTTGTATATGAGTTGGGTTGGCCGGGCTGAAAGCATTTGGACAACCCAACTCATTGTTTGAGGTTTGAAAGTCTCAACCCAACCCAAGCAAAACAACCAAACCCAAATGTATGAGGTTGGTCGGGTTGATCAGAATATAACTTTGTTACATTATTTTACAGATTAGCTAATCGTTTTGTTTAACGAAGTAAAATCAAAACGAGAACACACAAAAAAACTAACAAATTAAAAAAAAAAAAAAAAACTCTAAGTTTAAGCAACTACGAAATTAAAATTACGGTTGAAACTGTAATATAAATTTGAGTATAGCTAATTACAGGTTGGTCTGGTATACATATATTAATCAAAGACTTAAACTCATATTAAAAATTCATAGAATACAAAGGCATCCGGTTCAACAGGTTGAGTTGGGTTCAAATTACCCTAACCCAATTTCAACTCGATAGATACAGTTTGACCTAATTTTGTATCAACTTTATGTCGGGTTAACTCGAGTTCAATTTTTCCCCCTTTTTCTTTTGGTTGTTGGGTTGGCCGGTTTTTTAAGCACCCCCTAATTATTACATCTGTATTTTGATGGTCAGTTCGGTTGAAACCATTTTTAAAAACGTTCAAACCATAGACTCGACTGAATGATTTTGCTAGATCGGATTGTACCGGTTTTATTTGAAATCCCTAAAAAGTTGTAAATATTAAAACTTAGAAGAGAAAAAGTTACGTTTTAATATAATTTGGGAAAGAGGGGGGCACGCGATGGGCTTGTGTAGGTACGTGGGATTGACATCGGCTATCATACTACACACGTGGAAATTGCATGCTTATGATTTTATGTAATGTGTTGAAAGTTTACGAAACTAATCTCATGCATTTTAATCATGTTAATTTCGCACTTTACCACCTTCTACTTCAACTTTACTCCACTTTTACCCCCCCAATACTTACGATGCTTTAAATAGTATTCATAATCACCAACTTAATCATTAATTATTTGGTTATACGGTTATCATCCTATAAGTACGTTACTTGACGAAACTTGTGATTTTCATTTCCGTACACAGATAGAAAATGTCAAGCGGACCAACCATTAGACGATTGTACAGGATCTCATAATGACGAGCATATATTTTCTCAAGTGTATTTAAAAGTGTTAGTTATTGTCATTAACAAATTGTATTTGACATTCGTTTTTCCATGGAGAATTAATTTATAGGAGTCGTAAGCATGTTTTTAATGCTTTCATATAAGAATTAAAATTATAATTACGTGTTGACATCCACTATAACAATATCAGATTTATATGATGTCTAAAATTCATAAGTATCCCAATAAAATGGTTTATATATACAACCTAAGTTTATAGGAACTGAGTTTAGAACCAAATAAAAAAACATCAAATCTAAAAACATTACAATATGTTCATATGACGAGTTGTATGTTTTAACATGTTGTATGACGCTTTTAAAAAGTATTTTTTTATTAGTTACTTTACATGATGCTATTGAAAAAATGTCGTATAAATATGAGTATATGGTACTTCTCAAAATTATTCAACAAAAAAAATAATCTGACACTTTATATTAAAAGTATCATAAAAAAACTTGTGAAAATAACAAAAAAATGTCATGTAAATCTATTATAACACATTTAGATAAGACGTTTTATAATTTGGTACTATAAAATTAAGTCTTATAAAAAACTTAGAAATTCAGATATATTTTCAAATATTTATACATTACACCTTATATATATTTTTTCTGTTATTCTCGGTATATGTCAATAAAAAGCTTAAGGAATTAAGGAAGTTTGAATTTTTTTAGATACCTAATCACGTTTTAAAAGTTATTATGTTCATAATATTTTCAGTCTTTATTTATTTATTTACGTTTTATCTTATCTTTGTACTATTAAATGCCATGCTATTTTTTAAAATTATTTTCTTAATAAAATTTTATATTGCTAATTTTCATGTTACTTTATTTTGATTTAATGTTATGATTATTAAGTACAATTTTTTTTTTGTTAAAAATATGAAATTGTAACATAAACCAAAACAAATCGAACAAACATGGTGTATTTTTCTCGAGAATTTACAATATAAAAAACGTAAGAAAATACAACATGATTCAATATATGGTTGGTTTTCTATGAGAATGATAGTTATTACAAGAATAGTAAGAAATAATCTTCATATTTGAATCAGTATTAGTCTTCAGTAGTAATAAGATGCACTAGATCAATTCTCGTACGTAAAAGACGCAGCTTATGAGATTAGGGTTGGGTTAAGAGTGATTAAGGGTCTATATATTTTCTTACATTTCTCATGTTAACTCCTATTTTGACACGATCATTCGTCTATATATATGTGAAACATAATGCTTTGAGATGACAAGTTAATCTAGTTTCATTTATCACATTTTTGTTTTAGCCATTGTTTGTTGAAACTCACGATTTGCATCAGTTTTGGCCGCATTTTAATTGCTATGGTGGTTACATATGATGATTATATTTCCATAAATAGCAATATTCAAAGTTGCTCATTTTAACATGAAAATAAAGGGTCTTTTTATGTTTATTTCACCAAAAGCATTTATAAGGGCGTTTCGTTACAACAAAATATATAGAAAATTGATAAATACCAACCGTTAGAAGAATTAAAAAACTTCAAAAAGTTAATAATTACGAATATATATATATATATATAAATGAAAATATGTTTTCATTTTCACGTGCATTGAGATATACATACCATTTCCATTAGAGAAGATGGAAATGAAGGTGCTTAGTTGGAGCCTATTGGCATAAACTTGTTTGTGATATAATCTAGTCGGCATCTGTCAAGGACACTGATTGTCCACGTGGCAAATTGTGGCCAAACGTATAAGAAAACACGACGAAAGTTTTGGCAGAAAAATATGATTTAGGAAAATGGGTGAAGACGTAATTGGGTTCAGAAGCGACTGTCGTATGCCATGGTGACGAAGATCCAACTAATTTGTGTTCCCTTTTTCCTGCTCTTTTTGCTAGTGATCTGCCTCGTGTTCCATTAATACACCCTTGTCTCTTCAACAACGTTAAGTTCGAAACAATTGTGTCTTTTCCAATCATCTCCCATTCCATTTCCTGTCGATCCACAAATCGATCGATGGCCGGAGGACAAAGGTTTGGATCCCTCAACAAACCTTGTGTTCTTCTCATAGGTATGTATATCAATTTCTATCGATTCCATTCAATGGATTCTTGATTGTTTTAATTTGTCCATCTTTTGATTTTGTAGTGATCGCTGGGATCGAACGGTTTGTGTTCAAAGGGGTGGCATCAAATCTTGTTATATACCTAACGGATGTAATGGATATGAGCAACTCCGCCGCTGCCAGAACCGTCAACAGCTGGTGTGGTTTCACGTCGATGCTGCCGTTACTCGTGGCGCCGCTCGTTGATTCTTACTGGAACCGTTATTCCACCATTTTGGCTTCTTCTTTCTTATATCTCGTGGTTCGAATCAAACCCATCTGAATTCATAACCAGATTATTGTTTAAATTCCCGATATTTTTTTCTTAATGGCAGATATGTCTGGACTAATCCCAATAAATTGTGATCGAAAGAAATCAGCCATGCTTTTATTTCTGTTTCTTCAGACGTCTTATCGATTGACATTTGTTTTCAGGGGCTTTTGGCATTAACGTCAACAGCAGTGAACAGAGGAAACTCTTCTTCGTCGTCGTCAATGTTTTTGTCACTTTATCTGATTTCATTAGGCCAAGGTGGGTACAACCCATCATTACAGGCGTTCGGCGCAGATCAAATCGACACTGATGATGAACTTCCAACAGCGAAAAGCGATCAGAAGTCCGACAAGAAAAGCATGTTCTTTCAATGGTGGTACTTTGGTATTTGCAGTGGTAGTCTTTTGGGTGTATCGATCATGCCAAATATACAAGACACCGTGGGTTGGGGTTTAGGGTTCGCCATGCCGGCCATGGCCATGGTGATCTCCATGGTTATGTTTTCATGTGGCAGCCGGTTTTATTCATATAGCCATGATCAAAGCAACGATTTTAAATCTTTGGAGAAGGTGGTTCAAGCCCTTAAATGTTCTGTATCTAAATTCGTCCACCATAAAACTCAAGAAAAATCCACCATTATCGAACTCGAGTAAGTGCTCTATGATTCATTACAAAGTACAACCTTTCATATACAATGTACAACAAAATGCTTACTTTTTATTTTTGTAAGGGTGTCCCGTACTATGTCTGGACTAATTCCGATAAATTGTTATACTAAGAAATCAGTTCCGATAAGCTTATGGAGGTGTTTGGTTCACAAAATGAAATTTGATGGAATTGGAATCCCTTAAACAAATTTGACTTTGAAGGAATCGGAATGAAATTTGATGAAATTTGACCACGTGTTTGGTCGGTAGAAATTGGAATGAAATCTCTCAATAGAATTGAAACAATCGTCTTTGTTTGGACTATTCCACCCATCGTCCCGCCTACACTCTACCAACCACCATGTCACTACTGTCGTCGTCACAGTTATCACCCTGCCCATCACTCTTGCCCCACCCTACTCCATAGGTGGGGGTTGTTGGAGGCAAGCAGGGTGAGACGAGGCGGTGGGGTGAGGCTAGAGTGTGCAGTGGGTGGGAGGGTGGTAGTTGTGATGACTACCTATGAGCCACTGTGGTAGGATGGTAGTTAATGGTGGTTTGGAATAGGGTAAAGTGGGGTGGGGATGAGGGTGGACGGTGGGTAGGGGTAGGTGGTATGGTGGTTAGTGGTGGAGTAGGGTGGGGGTTATGGATGGGGCATGATGAACAATAGTAGCATTGTTACAATAGGTGGTGATGAAATTCAATTTCTTTCATTACGACAAGTAATGATGTATTCATTAATTTGTGGAATTTAATGGAATTTGAAGAATTCTATCTCAAGAAATGAACCAAACAAATGAATTAAAATTTGGTCACAAAAATTTATTTTTCCAGTTTCATCAAATTCTTTCGAATTCCGCAAACCAAACCACCTTTGAGTTTGAGGGACCACAATTGTTGTCTAAGTCCGGAATAAATTGTTAATTTTCCGGTTGTTTTTCAGGCTCGAAGACAAACCACTCTGTTTAAAAGGAGAAAATGGAACTGAATCTTTAGGTGATCAAAAGTCAAACAACAGTAATCGTCTGGTCAAAATTGCCAAAGTCATCATCCGGCTACTGCCAATTTGGACGACATTGCTTATGTTCGCCGTTATTTTCCAGCTTCCGGTAACTTTCTTCATTAAACAAGGAATGACGATGAAGAGAAACATCGGAGAAAACTACAAGATCCCGCCGGCCACCCTTCAAAGCGCCATCACGATTTCCATAATCCTTCTGATGCCATTCTACGACACCATCTTCATCCCCTTCACTCGCTTCATCTTACGTAACGAGAAGGGAATCACGACGATGCAAAGAATCGCCATCGGAATGTTCCTTTCCGTCATAGCAATGATATTCGCAGCCACCGTGGAAATGAAACGGCTTGAAACGTCGACGGAATCGGAATCGGCGACGCTGAGTATATTCTGGTTGTTGCCACAGTACATATTGTTGGGTATTTCCGACATCTTCACGGTGGTTGGAATGCAGGAATTCTTTTACAGTGCAGTGCCAAATGGGATGAGGACGATGGGAATAGCTTTGTATACAAGTGTGTTCGGAGTGGGAAGCTTCTTGAGTGCATTAATGGTGTATCTGGTGGAGTATTTTACGAGCTCAGCCGGCGGGAAAGGGAACTGGTTTTCCGATGATATGAAGGAAGCAAGGCTGGATAAATATTACTGGCTGTTGGCCGGTACAAGTGTTGTAAGCTTGGTTGTGTTTGTGGTACTTTGTAGGTTTCAAAAGACAAGTCCGGTCGACGTGGAGCAATCTTAGCCGTTGATATTCAAGGGAATATTTTACCTTAAAAGAGGATTTACTTCCCGATAGCATTTTGTGTTTGGTTTAATTTTGGTATGTACATATTCTTGATAAACAGTATGGTTTCAGTTACGTTTCCTTTTGAGGAAAATAGTTTGATTTTGTTTCATATCTACATTTTGAATTTTAGTCCTCCAAAACTTGTAATTTGTGGTCTTATATACAAGCACATATATAAATAAAAGGGATAATCTTCAAAATAACCACACTGTTTACATGTTTTAAAATAACCAGGCTTAAAAGTAAAAAGAATATGGTGTAAGGGTATTTTAGACATCTTTTATAAATAAGAATGTTGAGAACCAATGATTTGATACCGCCAAGTTCAACGGGTCGCACACGGAACGCGCTTCCAATATGAAGGGATGTTTTTTTGCTCACTTAATGGCTGAATCTAGCTTGCAGGACTTGAACTGGTGATCTGTAAGAAGAAATTCTAAAAAATTAAGTTTTACTGTCAGTTGAGCTAACTCCATAATTATTTAATGAATTGAGCTACATGATATTACATCCAATAAGGAATATATGGTTTATACCAATTTTCAAATCTAACTTTAAATAAACTCAATTGAAATTAAAGATTTTATGTTTCAATCACACAACTTGGTGACATGGAAAGCTGTTCACTCATTAATCATGAACTCCAATGTTACATATATGTGTGTTTGTAATTATATAGTATATAATAGCTATTCATGGACATGATGGGCCATTAGATCCAATCCGTCTATCTGAAAAACGAGTTTGAAAATCTATACTATCTTATAAAGCATTTGACTAAAACTCTTAAAAACTCTTAAAATGTTGTATTGATTTAAAACGGTAACCTTTCCGTACATTTTGTTCTCTTTTCAATTATGATAAAAAACAGTTGGATTTCTAAGGGTTTCCATGGGTAATCGAATACTGCTTTAGTTCACCAAGTGATTCCAACCTTTTGATTCTTTCTGGCAATTAATCATGTCATGTCTTTTGGTTGATTACATCTTGGAATCACTTTTTTGTTTAGTTTACAGACCATTATCGATCCTGTTTGCCACCAAATGAACCACTTTCTTGACACGATGAAGAAAGAATAAAGATTTTAAAGAGAGGCATGGAAGTTTCTATTGGCCATATTCACATTGATTTGACCTATCTGATGCAAAATTGATACTACCTGTGTCATAGAAAGTGTGAAAGAATGGTTTAAAGCTCACAAAATTCAATTTTTGTTTATGTGTTGTTCTTGATCGAGGATTGAAGGTATATATATATCGCCACATACATGTAAACCTGATCATGATCTCTCATGTGTTTTCAAGAACTAATTATTGATCTTATGTATGTATAGTATATATATTAAGCTTTTGCTCTTATGTATGTATATGATCTTATATATGCATGTATATTAAGCTTTTGCTCTGGCATGGCAGCCCAACGCTGGAATAGAACTACTTAAAACTGTCCCAAATGATATCCCCCGGACTCCAGCCAGTAATACTTGAGGTTGCTGGTTTGAGTGGTTTCCGAATTCAAAAGCAGCTAACTTGTTACCTATTCATGCTTCGCTGAGATCACTTCTTGTAAATCGGAGGTGGGTTTTAATCAAAGATTTTAATTTTGTTTAAATCATGAAGTTGTGGTGGTGTTGGTTGTGTGAGTTTCTTTCTGATCACTCTCTTTGATTATCATCACATCATGATGAAATTATTAATAACAAGGTTGATGTGAAGAATGAGGTTGGTTTTGGTTGTTTAGATTTGAGATTAACTTTTCATGCCCACTTTTTTAATTGGCAAAGTTTGATTGTTTCATGTTCTGATTACATCTTAGTGGATTTGTTAGATATATATATATATATATATATATATATGACTACTTTGAATATTTTGTTGGCAAGGTTCAGCAATCTTCATGTTTTACCCTTGTTTTTGGTTGATAAATTTATTACGAACAGCGGAATAGGACTAGACAAGAGAACAGGAGTGGACAAGACATGATAAGTTGTATGCCCGGTGTTTGACATGATTAGGACTCCATGAGGATTGGGCTTCACAAGTTGCCCGTAAATATTGTTTAATGATTTTTTATAGTGCTGGCGGTGGAAGTGTAGGTAGTGATTGTGGTTGAGGTGGCGGTAGTGGATGTAGAGGCGGTGGCCGACGGTGATGGTGGTAGCGGCTTTGGACGGTTGTGACCACGTAACCAAATATCATATTTGGGTTATATAAAAAAGAGGGTGGATTACTAGCAAAGTAGCACGGAATCATCAATCATAGCATGTAACTCTGGTAATCAAGGGATTTTGTAACATTCCCTTCTCGTATGTGCAACTATCGATGCTTTTAGAAGGAGTGCGTGAAAAGATATATGATGAGCTTATTGAGTAGAGCTATTTGTTTTTGTTACTATGTTTTTTATCATCTAAGGGAGAGATTTATAGCAAGAATGCACTTGCATGTGTTTCTGAATTTAGGCTTTTATGTCATTGTCACTCTCAGTAGTTAAATACAGGTCTCTGCAACATAAAAAAAAATAGGATGTCGACGATGTGTATGTATTGGATGAACCCAATCGTTGTCAAGTTTTGTTTTTTCATCAGAAGGGGATCATAGTCGATAGAAATTGTTGATTACTTGAACCAAACCAATGTTCTATGTTCAACTCATTTGGAAATTATGGTTGTTATAAACTAGATTCTTGTCAAAGTGTTTATAGATATTTACTTTCAAATTATGTGAAAAAATGAAAAGAAAAAAGAGATGATTTTTAGCCTCTTTTTTCTTTTCCCGAAGGATCCAAGGGAGCATCCCTGGTGTATGTTATTTGCGGACGACATTGTGTTGGTTGCAGAATTGAAGGTCGAATTGAACGAGAGGTTGGAGCAGTGGAGGGCAACCTTGGAAACGCCTGGCTTGTGCATTAGCCGTTCGAAGACATAATATGTATGCTGCAATTTCAACATAGAGTATTGACGAAGGGGTGAAAGTCAAGATTGGAGGGCAAAATGGTATCCCGAAAGGACAGTTTCAAGCATTTAGGATCTCTCATTCAAAAGGAATGCGAGGGGGAGGATGACATAACACATGGCATCGAGGTGGGGATGGCTAAAGTGGAGAGTGGCCATAGAAACAATCATTTACTCTTTTAGGTAGATGTTAGGTTTGCATACATCTTACCCTTCCAATACGGCAGGATATACGATATACCTTTCTGCACCAAGGTCAACCTTTTGGCTTAGTTGCACAATGGAATTGCTTTTTATTTCCAAAATACATCTATGCGCCTTTCATTTATATGTTCTACTTGCTGGCAACAAGCTCTTAATTGCGATGTACGTCTCCCTACGTCTTATGACTACAATCGTTCTAAAGTAGGACATATGGAACAACTATTATCGGTTCTCGGGTCTGAAGCTAAGATGTCATGGGCTCTCAATTAAACCAATTTATTCACTATTTATTGTTTGTTATGCTGTCATTTGGTAAATTGTCGATATAAATTTTAGGCGATTCTTACGTTGAGTTTTCAATTTTTTTGTCTCGTAGAAGAAAATTTTAAATTTTTTGCTGGATAAAAAAACATGTAACAAAAATAAATGATTTTGTTTATATGTTTTATAATTTATATTTTTTTAAATTTGAGTGTATACAATGATTTTTATGGGAATGAGGAGGGAAAACAAAGGATTTGGTAGTAATGGGGTCCACCATACACATGCTTATGCAACATTTTGGCAAAAATAATTACAAATGTTATTTTAAATTATCATCCATTATTCATGTAAAAGTTTTTATTGATATTATATATTATTGATATGTTTTGAAATATAAATGAACGGTTATAAAAAATGGTTGAGTTTTGATGAGAATGAGAATTAAGGTGAAAAGTGAAAGAAGAGATCTTCACATCTGGATCCATATTAAGATGAAATGCGTCGAGATGTAGTGGATTGAACCCCATATCAAGTGCGATTCATAGACGGGTTTGAGATTAAAAGTGATCAATGGTGAAGATCATTTATTACATTTATCACCTTAACTTTCATTTTTGCATGATCATTCGCTTTATGTTAAATTTGTTGATTGTTAATTAATTAACTAGCCGCTAATAAGTTAGCTAATGACTTAATTATGTTTCGTAAAATTAGCTGATAAACTAGTTGAAAAATGTAAAATGTCTAGAAAGAATATGTTAAAAGAATTAGTAAATTTAACATTTCAAAATATTTATAAAACAATTATTAATAATATAATATTTAATTAATACAAATCATATGGTAAATTAAAATATAACTTTAACTTTTATATAATTTACAAAAATATATTTGAAATTGTTATATTTGTTTTGACGACTAAATATATTAAATAATAATAATGATGATGATAGCATAAAAATAATTCTAAATAATTATTACTAATTATAAGTTATAGTTGAAATTAATTAATAATTTGGAACTGATTTTTGTTAATAGTTCATATTTATTAATAATTTAGTAATCAAAAAACGATTGATATCCATTAGCAATACAATTGAAAAAAGTGATAAAAAAACTCTTAGAGTTTATTGAAATGTTATTCTCAATAGTGTTTTATAAGCTAGCTTATAATATTTTTCGCTCATTCTAACAACTTTTTAAATAAATTCAAAAAAGTAAATTAACTTATATTTGTCAAAACATAGCCCTAATATGCATATAAAAATTTTGTTTCTTTAAACTAAGAGCATCTCCAATAGAGGTTAATGGGGAGGTTAATGGGAGCCATTACATGCATCATGCATTATGAAGGGAGGTTAATGGCCATTGTACGCATCATGGGAAGGTCAATGGGACCCACTAATTTATTTTTTCTTTTATAATTAAATTTGTAAGGATTTAATTATGATATTATATATATATATATATACTATAATATGATATTTATTAATCAATAAATTAATTTTTATTTTTATTTTCTTAATTTATAAAAACAACATA